CTGGCATCTTTTCACAAAGAATTTTATTGCCAGATTTGGTTGTCGTTATACACAAGTATTCCTTTTGATTTTCTGTCATGGTTTCAATGTGATAACCATTTTGACGCATATCTTTAAAGCTCAATAAATTCCTTCGGGATTTGCTGGAATATAATGCGTCTTTGATAATTAATTTTGTTCCTAGGGGAAGGATTAAACAAGCTATTCCAGACCCTTCAATGAGCTTCGCAACACCAGAGATTGTATTGACATTAGTTTCCATCAATGTCATTTGAGAAAAATATTCTTTGTTTCTCAAAATGGTGTGCGTTGTGGCACTGTCAATTAGACATTGTTCTTTGCCACTGGAGCCATAAGCAGTTATCTCCATATCTTGAATACAAATAAATATATAAATAAATATAAGTTAAAGATAATTAACACAAATATCATACATTTTATTATCATTATTTTTTTAGAAGAGACATAATAATACAAGCACACATGAAAATAAAATACGAATTTCCAACATTTATTTAAAAAGTAAACACACCATAAGAGAGAAAATGAAAATGTTTAAATAGTAGTAGTTCCACCAAAGGTCACTTCATCACCAATTTCAGCATCATCCATGTAGAAATCGGATACGTCAAATTTAGGCAAAATTGGATTGATATCATCAGCATAATTAGCTTCCACATTTTTTCCTTTTCCTTTTGTGGAAGCCTGGTATAATTTAACCAAATGTTTTGCCGTTCGACATTCATTCGCCCAGTGTCCTTTTATGCCACATTTGTAGCATTCACCACTTGGTTTTGGCTTTTCATAAGTTTTAGCCTGTGGTGGTTTGAATTTTCCTTTTCCTTTGCAGGATGATCCATTTGGATTTTTATAGCCCCTGTTCGCCCTTTGTTCCGGTTATTTCCGCGTCCACGTTTAAAGTGTCCGCGAGCACCACCTTGGATAACATTTGATTCTGGTGCTGAACCACGATCAGGATGGCCAAAATTTGTAGGGCTACAACCGGTGGGCCTCATGTTATGATTTTTCATTAAGAGCTCATTATTCTGCTCAGCAACAAGTAATAATGAGATTAACTCAGAATACTTTTTAAAGCCCCTTTCTTTGTATTGCTGCTGTAATATCACATTTGACATATGCATGGTGGAAAAAGTTTTCTCCAACATGTCATGGTTAGTGATATTATGTCCACATAATTTTAATGTGGACGTGACTTTAAAAATAGCAGAATTATAGTCACAAACAGATTTGAAATCTTGGAATCTTAAATTGATCCATTCATATTGAGCTCTTGGCAATATGACCTTTTGTTGATGTCCGTATCTCTCTTGGAGATTATCCCATAATTCTTTCGGATCTTCCACCAATAAATATTCAGATTTTAAACTTTCATGAAGGTGGTGGCGAAGGAAAATTATGGCTTTTGCCTTTTGCTGAGATGATGATGTATTATTCTCAGCAATTGTATTTTCGAGGCCATTAGCCTTAAGGTGAGCTAGTGCATCAACCTTCCATTCCAGGTACCTTTGACCGGATAAATCAAGAATGCCGAATTCTCTTTTGGTGATATTGGCCATGGAAACTACAAAACAATAAATTTTAATTTTATTAATATTGTTTTTTTAAAACTAAGTGAATGGGTGTAGAAAAGAAGTCATTTTACCATTTTTCAAACGTACACAGTAGTATTGATTTTTTTTAAGAGCTTTATTATTATTATACATACATACATACATACATACATACATACATACATACATACATACATACATACATATATATATATATATATATATATATATATATATATATATATATATATATATATATTGTAAAAATAATATAGCTTCGTTTAAAAAAAATATACGGAGTACATAATAAGGAGTAAAAAAAATTTCCATAGACACTAATAAGTTGTTTGATTTCATTGGCAGGAAATTGATGTTAACATGTTTTTTTTATATATCACGGCACCATGTATGAATAGACATCAAATTTTAGAATTGATTCCCTTTTAAAATTTAATAAAGCACAACATGTTAAAAATGGTCTGACATGATATAAAAATATCACCTGCCTCTTAAACAAAATACAGAATAATTTTGATGAGATATAGATGTAGGAATCTTAGTGAAGAGTTAATAGAGAGAAGAAATTAGAAATATATTATATCTATTCTCATAATCTTTGAGTAGTTTTTCTCTCATTTTACAACACGTTATCAGCACGAATTTGCTCAAAATCCCAGAATCCTTGTTCTTCTCAGAAGGTATATTTATTTAATTTTCTTCATAAACAAACCAAAATATTTTCTTAAAAAACTATGAGAAGTATGCTCTGTGATTGCCCAAAGTAGGGATCCTTCACATCAGAAACTTATAGTTATAAAAATGAAATTAGATAAATTAAAAGAAATAAGTTTCCTCATAATCCTAGAAAATCATATTTTTTTGATAAACTGGAATAAAGAATAGAACTTAATATGGAGTAGTTATGATTGAAAAATAAAAATTAATTTTATCTTTTAAACTATTCTTGATAAATAAGAAGAAAAATGAAGAGTTAATAGAGAGAAGAAATCAGAAATATATTATATCTATTCTCATAATCTCTGAGTAGTTTTTCTCTCATTTTACAACATTATGGAGTTTTTTTTAATTATTTTATCACCCACCCCTTTTCCTAAAGGTGTTTCCCCTTTGTCCCCACCCCTTTTTCTAACATTCATTTTTATTTATTTATATATTTAATTATTTATTTATTTTGAGTCTCTTGCCCATTTATGTGGTAATGAAAGGGATGAGGACAAATGGGGCACATGGTGTAACATTTTGAACCATGCTACACTTACACCAAAAATTATACCCCATTTCTACTCGTAGTTATACATAAACATTTTGATGGTTTACGTCGACACAAATGTTGGTGCATTAACAAAAATTTGCACAGACACAAAGTGTTGGTGCATTAATAAAATTAGTTTATACCAACACAAAATGTTAGTACAAAGTGTGTTATAAAAACTTTGGGTACAAATAGCTTTATCCTAACATTTTTCTACCACAAAACATTTCCCTTCTGAGTAACCGTCATTCCCTACTGAATTTTAACGCACTCCCATGCCTCCGACGCTTCTTTGCTGCCGAGCACCACCGGCCGCGGCGGCTGACGGAGAGGTGGAGTCTCGAACTCAGCCTCTGCTGAATCCCAATTGCTACCGTCCCCTCCGTCGTTCTGCTTCCAATAGCACTTCCCAAGTTGCCATCGTCGGCTCCAATATCTGCCCTATTGAAAGCCTGGATTACGAGTATGCCTCTTCGCTATTCTAAAATGATAATTTTACTTATTTTAAGGATTCGTGTATTGGCCAGTTTATATGATGGGGCTCATGACATTTTACTTAGAAGCAAAGAAGTGTCTGACTAAAATCATGTTTTGTGAGGCGAGGGAGAAACAGCTATTTCTTGTTTAGTGTTGGTGATTCTAGTGTCATTGGCTATTTAGTGTGATTGGATTTACTTAGATCAGTTAAAAATTTGAATAGATGTTGTCAAATGAGTTAGAAGGTGCGGAGTGTTCACTCGTTCAACAATATTACAAATTCATAGCAAGGGTCGGGGGCGGAAGCCCCCGGATAGCAGGGTCCAAGGGGCGGAGCCCCTGGCCGGGGTCGAGCTGCCGGGACAGTTTGGATTTTTTAAATTTTGGGCGTTATTGCTTCATGAAAATCCTTCAGTTTTTCGTGAACGGAGTCCGAAATCCTGAAGATTTGGACATACGGATAAACGTCAAAATTGACCCAAAAACCAAAAGGATATTGACGCGCGAACACTTGTGCCTTTGGCAAAATTCGGTTCTCTCCCTGTTGCGCGAACGTACGCCTCCTTTACGCAAACGTTCATGTTTGCTTGCCAAAATCTTCAACTCTATAAAAGGAGTCGTTGGGTATGGTTGAGAAGGTAATTCAAAAAGCTTGTTCTTGATTAACATCTTATCTGATTAAAGTATTTTGGTATACCCCGAAATAACTTTGATCTGAAAGCGTATTCGCGATTCGTTAAACTATCAAGTCGTAATTCTCGTTCTTCGTTTACTGATTCTTCAACTTTGCTTTGCAGCGTTCATCCTCTATAATTTCTAACATTTAGTGTTTTGGTCTTACCCGATTTTATGAGCTCTGAAATCCAATCTTGAGAAGGAAGAGAAACCATTTTGAGTAAAGCATATCACCAATCACCGAACAATTGTTAGAATGAGTGCCCAACTTAAGAGGAGTTCTTATATGATATATCCAGATGTATCATATTTCTTGTACATCTGGCATATACCCAATGCTCATTTTAGATATTTATTTATTTGCACAACTTAGTTTTATTTCCACTACGTTTTGTACACATTGGTTGGCAGTATGTTTCAACAAAAGAATAGTTTTTATTTGACTATAGAAATTTGTAGTTGGATAGATTAGGAAGTTGCAACGTCCTGCACATCATCATGCAGGGCCATCCTGACACAGTCCTATGGAAGGAGTATGTGAAAGAAGAGTTCAAGGATATTCAACCTCCAGTGGTATATGACGTGTGCTTTTGAGAAGCATTTCAATAGCTACAAGTACACAAAGACACCTCATGATGAGTTGCCAAGAGTCCTAAAGGCGAGAATTTAGGATCTCCATTGCAAGTCAATTTGGAGCTAGAAGAATTTTATTATTGTCCAACTAGGGTTGACAGGAATTGGAAAAAGAAGAAACAAGTTAGGCTTTCTGGAACTGTGAACCAAAACCTGATAACACAAATGTTATTGGTACACGATGGTATTAAGAAACAAAACAGATGAAGTCATGAAGATGATAACAACATCAGGAACAAGGTAAGACTTGTGGCTCAAGGTAATACACGTGATAAGGTGTGGATTTTGATGAGACTTTCACTCACGTAGAAAAGTTGGAGTCTATACAACTGTAGATTAGTATGGCTTGTATCCTAATCATGAAATTTTATCAAATGGATGTTAATATAAGGTTTCTAAATGGATATCTCAAAGAGGAAATGTATGTTGCACAACCAAAAGGCTTTGAAGACTCAAAACATTCTTCACATGTGTACAAACTATGAAAAACCCTATACATTATGAAGCAAGGACCAACGACATGATGTGAAAGACTCACTTCATATCTAGCTAAAGAAGGATAGGTCTGCGGGGAGCACAGAACATAATGTTATATATAAAGTAGAATTATGATATTCTCATTTCTCATATTTATGTTGACGGTATTGTATTTTGTTCTATTTCAAATGATAGGGTTGATGGCATGTGTTTTTGAGAAGTGTTGAGATAGCTATAACTACACGAAGGCACCTTGGCATGATGATATTGCAAGAGTCCTAACGATGAAATCATGAGAATTTAGGATCTCAATTACAAGTCAATTTGGTGTTAGAAGAATTCAACTATTGTCCAACTGGAGTTTGCATCTTGCGGATACACACACCAAGACTCTCTACATCTTGGGTGGTCAAGTACATAGAGAGAAAGAGTGAGATATAGTATTACCATTACCCAAATCTAAGAGAGCGTATGAGATCATGGTTGTCTCTACTTAAAGAACGATTACAACACATGAGCGAGTTGAGTTTGATCCGTTCAAGCCTCAAGAGATCATTTCTCCAGTTGATGAGAAACTGCTAATTGGGAATCGATATGTAATATCCTTTAAGAAGGCATAATGTTTGAAATAAAAGCTTTGCAGATTGAGGTTTGGCCATTACTTCTGAGAAGAGTCTTCTTGTTGTAGTGATCAGTGTAATCTACTCAGAAGGTTTAGTGAAGGGTTATTACACGTTCCTGGGCCCCACCAATTAGATAGTTTTTTTTCCGAATTGTGTTAACATATCATTGTGTCTCATTTACTTTGTTTATCTGCATTCTGTGTGTGAATGACTTTGAAGAAGCTCTAGCACCCTTAGTGTCTCTTAGTTCTTGTTTCAAGTCTCGTCCCACTCACTTAAGATTACACTAACCAGCAAATTGAACGGGTGCTCGGAAGTTAGGATTGATGCACTCCTAGTGCCCAACAAGGTTTCGAAAGGCAAAAACTAGCCTCGAGGCAGTGGAGCAAAATGCCTTGAGGCGTAAGCCTCGAGGCAAAACGAGGCGTAAGCCTCAGTTCAATATGAAAAAAAATGATACTAAAATATATACCCCGAGGTAAAACGAAATGCATAATCCATTTTCATGTTAAATAAATGATAAAATCATAATTCCCGAATTTTACAAAAAATGATACCCTAAATTTTTAAAACACAAAAAAAAAAGAATTATAAAGATTAAACACAGTAACATAAACACAAATGTCTCAAACCCCTCTTCAAACCTTATAAATACTCCGTATTAAATATGGACAAAAGTTCACGCAAAAAAAGTTACATCATTCTTTCAAGTTTGAGCTGAATTTAAAAGAGGGAGAGAGATGTTGGAAAAGAAGGAACCGGAAAAATTAAAAGTTGAAACAAGAAGATCAAAGAAATAGAAGATAAGCTATTAAATATGAAGTAATTGCCTTAGCAGTTACCACAAGAGTGAAGTTGTGCCACTGAAGTCTGAAGATGGAGAGAAGTACGGTTGAAGATGGAGAGACGAAAGTTCACGCTAAAAGTCTTGGAAAGAAGTGATAATTATCTAATAAGTTTATTAAGTTTTTCTTAAGAAACTTTATAGTGCATTGGCCTAAAAGAGTTTTTTGTAAAAGAAGCCCAATAGCTTTATAAAAATAACCCTTATAATTGTTGAAATTCTTATTAAAAGTGAGGCTTACGCCTCAGTTACGCCTTACTGCCTCAGACCGCCTCGAACCGCCTCAACATTGTGAGGCGTACGCCTTAGGTATCCCTACTGAGGCTTAAGAGGCGAAATGCAACCGCCTCACAGCCTCGAGGCGGACGCCTCGGTTGCCTTTTAAAACCATGGTGCCCAAGAGAGATATGTTTCATTATTGGAGAGGTAGATGGGGATGTTGTCCACCGTATAAGAGCGGCTTGGGTGAAGTGGAAGTTGTCGTCATAGTTTGTAAGGCGGAAAGGCGAGGCGAGGCGCCAATGTACCTTCATATCGCCTAGGCGACATACATACCTACATATATACATATACATATATGTATACGTATGCGTATGCGTATGTATGTATGTATGTATGTATGTATCTATGTATTTATGTGTGTGTGTGTCTATATATATATTTATATATGTATATATAGGTCTTATACATTTTAAGGAAGCTTAACAGAGAAGACCGAGAGAGAGAAAAGACAAGTTTAAGTCTATTAGGCTACCCTAAAAGAAAATGGGCTGCACTAAAAATGGGTTTTTTCAAAATTTTAAATCTACCCAAGGTATCAAGGCGAGGTAAGGCGAATTAAGGCGAGGTAAGGCGAGGAAAGGCAACGCCAAGGCGAGCGCCTGGTCGCCTTAAGGTTTTCTAGGCGAGGCGAGCAGACAAGGCGTCCTAGTGACTGTGCTTTATCGCCTAGGCGACGCCAAGGCGACGCCTTACAAACTATGATTGTCATCAGGGGTTCTTTGCGATAAGAAGATTTCAGAAAGGATGAAAGGGAGGTTCTATCAGTCGGTAGTTAGACTGGCTATACTTTGTGGTGTAGAGTGTTAGTTCGTCAGTTGCGTGCGGCTGAGATGCGTATGCTTCCGTGGTTGTGTGGGTAGACAAGGTTGGATAGAATCGGGAATGAGGTCATCCAAAGATGTGTGGGTTTGGCACCAGTGGAGGATAAGTTGCGGGAGGCTAGGTTGATATGGTTTGGTCACATGAGGCAGCGTCACCCCGATGCCCGGTGCAGATATGCGAGAGGCTTACGAGCTGGACATAGTTTTGAAAGGCGAGCGCTTCCCTCGCCCAAGGCGCCTCAGGTATCTGGGCGACCTTATAGCGCATGTAGCCTTTCTCGCCTTACTGGCTATGGGCTTTTTAAAAAATGAGATGGCATTTTTTAATACATTTCTATATATTTAATACTTGTTTTTTTTCCAGAAATATATGTAGTAACTATTGTAATTTTTTTGTTTAACATGTATGACTTGCTTGGGATTGACATTTTTAATTGCACTGCACTGTAAATTTTATGTATGTGTGTGTATGCTGCAAGTTTGCCTTTTGGCTGCCTACCTCTCGCCTCGCCTTTGGCCTTAAAAAAGGCCCTCTCGCCTTTCAAAACTATGTAGCTGGGTTTAAGGGAAGGGATAGACCTAGGAAGAATTGGAAGGAGGGTATTAGGCAGAACTTAGGACTCCTAGCTCTTATCAAGGATATGACATTAGATAGGAACATTTGGAGATCTAGGATTAGGGTTGTTGGGTAGTCGTTTGGACCGGGGGGGGGGGGTAGTTTTGTTCTTGTCATTGTGTGCTTTGTAGGTTTGAGTCTTTGTGTGTCTTTTGTCTTAGCGTGCTTCTCTTGCCCTTTGTTTGCTCTTTTATTTTTTGTTGTACTATCTGTTGTTTTCCGTGTTGTTTGAGGTGGGGTCTCTTGGAAACAACCTCTCTACTTTTAGTAGGGGTAAGGTCTGCGTACCCAGACCGTCCCCAAACCTTGCTATTGCAGGACTCTACTGGGTTGTTGTTGTTATCATTCATTGGGTTCAATTTATCAAAACTATTCCTCTTAACTTAATAAGTAAAGGTCAAGAGTTCTGCAAAGGTAGGATAGTCAGGAAACAGATGTGGCGATGCACTAAGATGGATATTGGACAAGCTAAAATAATCCTCATAATGGCATCTAATATCTGCTCAAGTATTACTCAATAGTAGATTATCACATATTACTTTGGTCACTTACACAGCCAGGCACATTAGTATAAAAGGTTATATTTGAATCAGCGTTAACTATAGAATAGCAGAGCTGTAAAATCCTTCTGCAAGATGCAATGAGAACTTAGTTAATATTTAAAACTTGAATTTTGCATTAAAAAAGTGTGACAGAAAGTTTTTGCTTGTTTTACTTTTCTGCTCTTAATCATATCATTCATATGTAGAAATGCACTAAAATGAGCCTAATTTTACTTTCTTGTGTGCTTTAAGGATAATAGAGAACGACTTGTTCAAGCAAGACTGGAGGACTAGACAGAAGTTTGAGATATTCCAGTACATTTTCATGAAATGGATTCTGTGTTTTCTCATTGGATTGATTGTTAGTCTTGTTGGTTTCTGCAACAATCTTGCTGTTGAAAACATTGCTGGCATGAAGTTTGTAGTTACTTCGAACATGATGCTCGCAAGAAAGTACTGATTCACCGTTCCTTATAAGTTTGTGTGTAACTGTGTATCAAAGCTTTTTAATTGGCTAGTTATATGAAGTAACTGGATGGTTCTTCGAAACAGGTTCTTGGCTGCTTTTTTTGTGTTTGCATCTGCCAATTTTGTGCTGACATTGTTTGCGAGTTTAATTACGGCTGTTATCGCACCAGAAGCTGCTGGCTCTGGTATACCTGAAGTTAAGGCTTACTTAAATGGTGTTGATGCCCCAGCGATATTTTCTTTAAGAACCATGTTTGTCAAGGTAAACAAGTTTCACATGCTTATAACACAAGGTTCTCTATTCTATTTGACTGTTTTATACTTTTAGTACTGAATTGGCAACGTGATTGATCTGAGTGGAGTGAGGTGTTGTGGCTTAAATCTATTTTTGTGTTCATTGGTTGGCAGTAGAGCTCTCTATGTGTGTCCTCAATGATGATTCTAGTGATTAGAAGATGCTTCTTTTGCTTGTAATCTTAAACGTGCATAGAAAATCTTCTTATGACTATTTGCTTTCTGATCAAATCTGAAAACAACTTTTATATTTGAGACGCACGAAATGTTGCTCATATAATTTTACTATTTCTGTAATATACAGTGGTCTGTGTCGAGATCTCATTTGCCATTGCTTCAACGTGTAGATTGTTGGTAGCATATCTGCTGTATCATCATCTCTTATCATTGGAAAGGCAGGTCCCATGGTTCATGCAGGTGCATGCATTGCAGCTATAATGGGTCAGGGTGGGTCCAAGAAATACAGATTAACTTGGAAATGGCTGCAGTATTTTAAAAATGACAGAGACAGGAGAGATCTCGTAACATGTGGATCGGCTGCTGGAATTGCTGCTGCTTTCCGTGCCCCAGTTGGTGGCGTCTTGTTTGCTCTTGAGGAAATGGCATCTTGGTATGACTTCTACTAATCAGTTCATGTTTTTGTGTTAGTAGGCAGGACATGGTGCTTTTAAATTTCATCATGTGATTCCACCTATTGAGTAGTATACTACTCCCTCTGGTCCTAAAATCTCTTCCTGTTTTGACTTTTTTAGTCAAACAGTGACATGTTCTTTGACCACAAATTAAACACAATCTAAATAAATAAATGTTATAAAATCACCGGTGTAATGGAGTTGTTAAGAAATGCAATAAGTACCGATCCATGCATTTCTAAGTGATGTATGCCTGTACTGGATGTGTTTTTGTATTGAGTTAACATGACAAGAAACTTGCAATTGTTACACATCTGTTTCGTCTAAATGTGACAAAGTGGATACATTTAGCTTGCTTTAGTTAATTGTTTCTCACTTATTCTTAATTTATCTATCCCTTCCTGAAATTCATTCTACAGGTGGAGAAGTACTCTTTTGTGGAGAGCATTTTTCACAACAGCTGTTTGTGCTATTGTGCTTCGGGGCCTGATTGATGTGTGCCGGAGAGGTCAATGTGGTCTGTTTGGTCAGGGAGGTCTCATAATGTTTGATGTGACTGCAGCAAATATTTCATATCACCTTGTGGATGTGCCTCCTGTTCTTGTTTTGGCTATTTTAGGGGGCTTATTGGGTTCTTTATACAACCACATACTTGATAAAGTTCTCCAAATGTACAATCTGTTAAATGGGTATGGTTCCTTTTCGCATTGTTCCTATTCTTCTCACATCAAAGCATGCATGAACAATATTAATATACATTTCCCTGAACTATTTTTGCTTTCCAGGAAAGGACTTGCTTACAAAATTTTTATTGCTTGCTTCATGTCCATTTTAACTTCTTGTCTACTATTTGGATTGCCATGGTTAGCAACATGCCATCCTTGTCCTTTAGATGCATCAGAGCCTTGCCCCACGATTGGTCGGTCTGGCAACTATAAAAAATTTCAGTGTCCTCCAGGTCACTACAATGATCTTGCAAGCCTGTTTTTCAACACAAATGATGATGCGATTAAAAACCTTTTCAGCAAGAACACAGATTCTGAGTTCCACCATCTATCAATGCTAGTTTTCTTTGTCACCTGCTTCTTCCTTAGTATTTTTAGTTATGGAGTTGTAGCTCCTGCGGGCCTCTTTGTACCTGTTATTGTAACAGGAGCAGCTTATGGGCGACTATTTGGGATGATAGTAGGTGGACACTCAAACCTTAACCATGGTCTCTTTGCAGTTCTAGGTTCTGCTTCTCTTCTTGGAGGATCTATGAGGATGACGGTCTCAATATGTGTAATTATCCTTGAACTGACCAATAACCTATTGTTGTTGCCACTCATAATGCTGGTCCTTCTTGTATCTAAAATGGTGGCAGATTTATTTAACGGAAATATATATGACCTTATAGTGCAAGCTAAGGGTTTCCCATATTTAGAAGCACACGCTGATCCATATATGAGGCAACTTAAGGTTGGTGATGTGGTCACAGGCCCACTTCAATTTTTCCAAGGCATCGAGAAGGTCAAAAATATCGTTCATGTCCTAAGAACCACAGGGCATAATGGGTTTCCAGTGGTAGATGAGCCTCCGCTCTCTGAATCCCCAGTTTTGTTTGGTTTGATCCTCCGGGCCCATCTCATAACATTGTTAAAGAAGAAGGGCTTTTTACATGATCCTCTGCCAAGCAGTGAGTATGCTGTTGAGAAGTTATCTCCAGATGATTTTTCAAAAAAGGGTTTAGGCCATGGAGATAGAATTGAAGATATTATGTTGTCAGATAGTGAGATGGAGATGTATATAGATCTGCATCCCTTCACCAATGCTTCACCCTATACTGTTCTAGAGACAATGTCTTTGTCAAAGGCTCACACACTCTTCAGGCAAGTTGGCTTGAGGCACTTGCTAGTTGTTCCACAGATTCCTGGGGTAAGTTCTTTTCCCTGCCTAAAATGTTGGTACAATGCAGTTTAATTGCACTAAACCAGGTTCATTTTTTTTATTACTCTTGGAAATGAGGTACTCCCTCTGTCCGGGAAAGGTCTTCCTATTACCTTTTTCAAATTTGAATTACCACCACTACCCTCACCTTTATTTAGTTATTACACCTCACCCAATACTCCACCCACTTTCATTAAGAGTAGTTTGGTAAACTTTCACCTTTTTTCAACTCTCCTCAAAAACCGTGAAAAGTCCACTTGGAGAATTCTTTCCGGGACAGAGGGAGTATATCGAGCACCTATAATGTTACTGGTTAATGCAAGAACCATTTGGATCTCAATCAATTATGAGAAATTATGATTTTGCTTATTCCAGAGGGTACCGGTTGTGGGTATTGTGACAAGGCACGATTTCGTTCCAGAACATGTGCTGAATCTTCATCCATCCATGGCAAGAAGCAAGTGGGAGAGGTTGAGATTCCGGATGCCTTGTTGGGGTAAGATGGTCTAGGAAAACCTCTGTTACACAAGATTTTTTTACAAAATTCTGATAGATTTGTTCAAGGATGGCACCACTTTCGAATTGGCAGGGTGATAGAAACCTGTTTGAATTAATTCAGGATCTAAATTAATTCTAAATAGAACTCTCCCTCCCTTCTCTCAGTAAGAATCTCACCGATGAAAAAGTGATAGAAGTCAAGAGGATCTCAATGTGGTTGATAGTTTATTTTCCAGGATATCTCAGAAATAGAGAAGCTGGGATATTTATAACTCTAACAAATGGATAAGATCAAACTGATCAGATAAGATCAAGAGAATAAAGTGATAAGTTCTAACTAGCTAAGCTATCTTAGGGCCTCAGGAATCCTAATAACTTGAGAGTCCTTTTATTTAATAAATATAAAATAGTACTCCCTCCGTCCCGTTTTAAATCGCCTGTTTTGACTTTTGAGCATATTTAAGGAAAAGAAAAAATAGAATTGATTTTTCGAAATTGACATTACTTTTTAGAAGGGGTGACTATGAATTAGAAGATAAGGTGAAGAAGGGTGACTTATTTTAGGGGTAGTTTACGTATTTTATTTTTAAAAGTTTACGATAACAACTAACAGGCAACTTATTTTGGGACGGAGAAAAAAGACAAACATGCAATTTAAATTGGGACAGAGGGAGTAACAAACTTAATTAAACCACACATAATAATATAATTAAGGTGGCCTACTGATCCGGATCTTATCATTACTCCCCTCTCTGAAAGACACCTTGTCCTCAAGGTGGAAGTCAAGATGTTGGTGTTGCATTAAGTCGTTGAGGTTCAAAGGAGATTGTTCCTCAACTCCTAACTGCAGCTCACGACACACCATTGAATTTAATCTACTGCTTTGATCAACTTTCGAGATGCCTTGTAATTTATATCGCTTCCCGTCAACCCAAAAAATCAGAAACATTTCATTCCAGTTTGCTTGAATGGTATTCAGAGAGGCCAACCATTTGATTCCAAGAACCATGTCAGAATGAGTTAGTGGAAATGGGTAAAAATCTTGTGTAAGAGTCGAACCTGGAAGCTTAACTGAAACGGACTTGCAAATCTGATCACACTGAATAATAAAATCGTCTCCTACCTGTACCCCAAATGTCTGAACAGAGGAAACATGTAGCTTAAGTTGCTCCACAAGTTTTTCAGAGATGAAGTTGTGTGTTGAACCACTATCAATTAACAAGAGAACTTCATGTCCATGTAATTTTCCACTTAATTTCATTGTGGCGGACGTTGGCGTTCCCAAAATTGCATTATAGGACACTTCCTTCCCTTTTGCCTCCCCATCAATGGTAACATGCTTGGGATTCATCGGGTTACCTTCCCCATCAACTTCCATCAAGGAGAAGGTAATGGATGAAGTCGAACAACAGTGACCTGGCCTAAAGGGATCGCCACACCGATAGCAAAGTCCTTTATCCCTACGTTGCTACTTCATCGACTCGTCCCTACTAAATCTCAAAACGGGCAAGGTTGGTGTTGAGCTTGAAGATCCTGAGAATGCAAGTGGTTAGGGCGAGTGAGATTGGGACAAGTTTTTAAACTCTCAGTTTGGGTCAATGGTAGAATCGGAACCAGAACCCCGACTTGATCCCATAGAACTTGTCTTGAAATGCACTGGTGCATTCCGTTTCTCAAACTCAAGGGCTAGACTAGAAGCCCTGAACACAGATTTGGGTTTGTGGATTCTGACCTCCGACCTCAAATCCTCTCTCAAACCAGCAATAAAGACACCCAAGAGACAATGGTCAGGCCAGTTTCGGACTTGAGCAACCCTTCTCGCCCACTCTTGACGATAGTCCTGTACGGAGCCTGTTTGTTTAATTAAGATAAGGTGTTCGTCTGGGTTCAAGTATTCTGGCGGTCCATAATGCTCCTAAATGAATTTGATGAATTCCTCCTAGTACAAGAGCGTCCTTTCGGCACTGATCCAAGAGAACAAGTCAAGAGTGTCACGTTCCAGGTGCATGGCCGCTATCTCAACCTTATCTTCTTCTGATGTTCCATAGTAACGAAAGTACTTTTCAGCCTTCAACACCCAGCCCTGTGGATCTTCGCCGCTGAATTTAGGGAACTCAACTTTGGATTTGGGAAACCGGCGGTGGTGATCGTTTTCATCGCCAGAATCGTCCGTATACTGCCTCATCTTTGCCTTCCCAGAATTACTTCTAGCCTGCACTTTCAGGGGCAGTCACTTTTGCCTTAAGGTCATCTAACACAGAAAGCTTGGCAGCGATTTGTGCTAGAGTGTTGTTCTGGGGAGTAACTTCGTGTGCTGATTGCTTGTTGGATCCACCGTCCTCACCGTGGGCAGCGTTTGAACGGGTAATCGCCATCAGGATCGAGTAACGAGCACTCTGTTACCAAATGATCGAAACCTGTTTGAATTAATTCAGGATCTAAATTAATTCTAAATAGAACTCTCCCTCCCTTCTCTCAGTAAGAATCTCACCAATGAAAAAGTGATAGAAGCCAAGAGGATCTCAATGTGATTGATAGAGAAGCTGTGATATTTATAACAACTCTAACAAATGGATAAGATCAAACTGATCGGATAAGATCAAGAGAATAAAGTGATACTCCCTCCGTCCCACTATATTTGTCCACTTTCATTTTTGCACACCATCCAATGCACTTCTATAATCCATTTTATCTTGTAATTTGTATATTAAAAAATTATAGAAATTATATATTAATAATCTATATGTTAAGACAAATCAAACAAGATCACACATGACTATATTTAGGTTTACACATTGAGAAAATTTGATGAGTCAAAGTGCTTAAATGAACAGTTCCAAAAGTCAAAACTGGACGAATATAGCGGGACGGAGGTAGTAAGTTCTAACTAGCTAAGCTATCCTGGGGCCTCAGGAATCCTAATAACCTGAGAGTCCTTTTATTTAATAAATATAAAATAGTAACAAACTTAATTAAACCACACATAATAATATAATTAAGGTGGCCTACTGACCCGGATCTTATCACAGGGTGTTAGGAAAACCTTTCCCCTGTTTTCCTGTATGTTGTTGGTGTGTGTGTGTGTGGGGGGGGGGGGGG